ATCAGGTTTTGCTTTCTCCTCCACTTAATGTCCTTTCTGTAATGCCGTGCTTCCTTTTGGCCAAATTGGTTCCTGACAGGATCCTCAGTGTGAATGCCAGCATCGACACTATTGGAGATATTCTGCTAAAAATCATACCAACTCTGGAGGAGGTAAGGCACCGTTTTAACTGCAGCTGAGAGAGATTGATGTCTTTTTTTCACTTTTTTTACCGGTTGGCCACGGAGCCAGTAATAAGTCTTTATTTAATTGAACAGAAAATACTTAATTTGATCATTAATGAGTAGCCCCTAAAACCCCTTTAAAGATCTTTAAAGACTGCCTGGTTGAGTTCTTATTGATTTGGTGATACCATATACCAACAAACTAGGACACACAGTATCTTAAGGTGGGAAAAAACAGTTACTGAATCTTTAAGACATGATCAATGAATGAAAAACCTGTTTACAACCATATCTGAAAGACTCCAAATCCATACTTTAGAATATTTCCACTCAAAATGTTAGCTAGGTTTAGGATTTTCTCATAAACTAGGACGACACAAAAGCAGAAGCTACCCTGATTTTTCCACCGTAAACCAGTTTAAAAACTCTTTTTAGAGGAATGAATTGTGTTCACCCTTAAATAGGTTTTAAATCTAACTGCAACAATAAAGCGGCACTAATGTTTGTGATGTCACTTTCCTCCACAGTACCAGCATTACAGCGGGGTTGACTTTGACAGTGAGCTTCGCCTGCTCATCCACCAGAGCCTGGCAGGCGGCATCATCGGGGTGAAAGGGGCCAAGATAAAGGAGCTGAGAGAGGTATCAGTCCAGATCTGTTCTGATGCTCAGCATTAACCGTTCAACTATAAAAGATGATCTTTCTTCTCTTTGCCTCTAGACTTAAACTTATACTTGTACTTTATTGATCCCTTGGGAAGACTCCCTCAGGATATTAAAGATTAATCTAAAAACATGTAACAGTAACACTATATCGTCTACACTGCTGGGTTTGTTAAAAGTTGAAAGAATCCCTCTTTTTGCTCTCTAGAACACCCAGA